TCACGGTGATTCTTTGATTATCATCTCAGGAGTAATTAATTTCTTCAAAGCGGTTCGATGTCTTATATCAGGTACGCTCGCTTTTGTTTTCCTCCTGACACGAGATGTCTGTGCGTTACTTCCTTGGGCCGTGTTAAAGGCGTAGCTCACGGACCTTCATGCGCTTCGAGAGATTCCCGTCCCTCAAAACATGCCCTTTAATCAGTCCTCTCTTGTACGGGGTGACCTGACGCGCTGGAAGTGCTTTCTGGGGTCCAGCATTTCTTCTGCAGGCTTCCACCACGTTTCAGTCAACGTTCTAAACCCTCCATGTAATATTTCAGCCCTTGATTCAAACTGCAGCCTCACCCATCTGGGAGAACAGTGGACAGTATGTGTAACATTTTGGGAGACTTTTGACCTAGCATCTCACAAAAAAGGCACACCGGTGTCATCATGGTGAATGTGTGATGTAGTGTCACTTGAACATGTCAGTAGAGGCTTGCTTGTGCTAAGTAGCAGTAATAGAGGGATTCAGGGTAACATTCCATGTTTGGCACAGCAGCCACACATGAAAAAACAAACCCCCCCCACCGGCCCTGTGCGCTTCTAGCCTGCTCTATCTGTTCCCCCCCCTCCTTGTCAATGTCTTTTTTCGCTTCTGTCTGGCCAGACGGGAAATCTGCGCATCCCCACACACAACAGCCACCCTGTCGGGATGATTAAAGGCTGCTGGGTCCCTCGTGTTTCCATAACCATGGAGTGGTCAGTTAGGCTCTTCTGCAGGCAGGCATGAATTCTTCGGTTCACTGATATATATATATATATATTTTTTTTTGAACAGCGATTTTGCAGGCAACTGAGGACTGAGTGCTATGCAAGAGCAGAAAACAATAGCAAACAAAAAAGGCAGAGAGCACAAGCCCCTGAACACGGTAACGGGAGGAAGAACAGTAAATAAGCCTGGAGGAAGGTTATTTGGGTCTCATCTCATGTTCAATACCATGCAAAGTACATGTTGAGGTCCAAGCAGTTCAGGAGATTGCTCTAACACTGCTTCCTATATATCAAAAGAGGTCACCTTACATCTGAGGGGAGCCTGATACCCAGCATCCCTTAAGAATGCGAAATACTGTCAAGTCCTGCAGCACCAGAAGGTCTAATACTGACAAGGAGAAAAAGCTTCTTCAGAATCACATGGATGGGGAATCTTACCCATTATGAGTAGGAAATCATTCCACTGTTTGTGGCTCCTCAGCCCTTTCAAGCACCTCCCTTTTAAGTAGTCTGCAATCCCTGGCAGTCTGCCTGCCAAGTACAGTCAACATGGGACTGCACTACATCCTACAGCTCAGGTATAGGTGTCCATAATTTAGCTCTTCCTTCAACACCATCATCCCAGGTGTGCTACTACCCAAACTGGACCAACTGAAACAGCCAGCTTTATCGCTCAGTAGATCTGACTTCCTGACTAAAAGGAAACCATATATTCTGCTGGGTCATGACTCCTCAAACCCCCTCTTCATCAGTACTCACCAAAACCCAGGGATCCAACCCAAGGTAGCTGAAGGTTGAGTGTGGTTAGAGAGTCATGCAAATAGACAGAACATTAGAGAAATTAAAACGCCAATTATAACATTATGGAATAAAACATGAACCAAAACACCCCTTGAATATTTTTTAAAACATATAAAATCAACCCCCAGCTCCACCCCAAAACTAAATCAAGACTAAGCAGACCAACGGAATAGTCCTGGTTATTTGGGGTGTTGATGGGTGGTAGTCCTTCTGTAGGACTTAGGGTGTTCTCTCTGCTGCCCTCTGGTGGCCATCCTGATTATTCTCTGGAATGGCAATATCAGTGCTGGAGCTCACCCCTCCACATACTGTACAATAATGTCTGCACCTCAATGATCCACCAGTAAAGCTTCTGAAAAGTGCAGATGACACCACCCTGGCATGTCTCATCTTCACTGACATCCAATCTTCCTACAGGAAAGGAGATAAACCATCCTGTTTCCTGGTTTAGCCACAATAGAACCATTATGTAACTTAATGGAACTTAACATGCCCAACCCTTGTCAATGTGTTTGGCCAATAAAAGTAATTCTGATTCTGGTTCTGATCCACTATTTGCTGTCAAAGCCCAGGTGTAATCTTGTCAGTCCTTTATAAGTCATCTGAGTCTTTTTAAAGTTGTCTCTGCGCTTAACTGGCAGTCAGTAGTGACGTGTTAAACAAATAGCAGCTGTTGTTGCCCTGTACACAGACTGAAGAGTGATAGTACAAGAAAACTGTTCTATGTAATAATAACTAAATGATTAATAAGCACCACAGGCCAGTATCAAAGCCAAAGAGCCATAAAAATTGAGTTTTGTTAAGCATCGCTACATTCTGAGGCTAGTTCTCTGCAGGGTGAAGCCAGATTGATTTTTAAGAAGTTTTGAAATTGGTTATAGCTGCAGCATATTTGAATGACGATTAGGTCAGTTGTAATGCCCTCCATGTTGCCATTGTTATGGAGTCAACCACACAGGGGTGAGGAAAAGAACATGGGAGCACGTTTGCTGGATGCTGCTGCTAGCTGGCTGGGTGTTACTGACTGGATGTCAGTGTCAGCACAAGTCGCTTTAATGCACTACACTTAGAGCATCAGCTTGCATCAAATTCATACTATTTGAAATTTTAGCTGTTATTCTGCAACATGAGTGCATTTGGATTCCAGAGGCAAACCGAATTTGAATGTGACTTTTTAATATACAGTTCTGTGGAAAAATATTAGGCAGTGAAAGAAAATTATGTTCTTCATGTTGGTGTGAAACTATGACATTATGTCTGTCAAAGGGTGTCAGCTGAACCATTGCTGGGGTGCTCCTGAGGAGAGGTTTGGGAACTGAAGCCGTGTTCATCTAGCCATCCAGCAAGATATCAGTGACTTTTTGGAGAACTGAAGAAATTCTCTCTAGTTTTTATTGTGTCACTATTCATTTGCATATATTCTAACATTATATTGTTTTTCTCTGAGCAAGTATACAGTTACTCCCCGGATGAATAGCCTTAAACATTTTCTTTGACTGCCTAAGACTTTGCATAGTACTGTAGTCTTGGCATTTTTATGAAACCTCAGAGTTTTGGCTAACTTTTCTGTGAAGTAGGATAACTGCATGCATCCTTATGGAATATTAGCCGTCCACATTGCAGCTAACAGCTAACATGGACTGTGTCTCTGGACTGCTCCCCCGAATCAATGCCTTGTGTCTTTATACACACACACGACGTACTAAACAGGTCAGCCTGCCCTTGACTTTCTCCCTATAATCACCTCTGATGGCCGTGTTTAAGGAGCTATAATGTAAAATCGACACTCTCCTGCGGCTGCTCGCAGAAGTTCGATAAAAGAGCAACACTGAAGTCCAATAAAAACAAGGCCACGCATCAGCAGAAGGTCTCACCAGCGCGGAGAGTGTCATTCGCCGTCACGTGATCTTGCGGTTTATGGAGAACGCAAGAAAGCTGTCGTTCCAGAACCAGAAAGTGGGAGGCATGACCTCCTACAAGGTCACTGAATCAGATGTTTCATATCATTGGGTATGTTTTTGAATCAAAGGAAATAGCCAAGAAATAGTCTCAACAACCTGGGAAGAACAGTGAAACAAACTGGGCTAACAGATGCAGAAAGGGAAAGTCTAGAATTAATTGAGAAGTTGATACATTCACTTGATGAATATTCCAATTCATCCCATCTGAAACATGGCTCTTTGGAGCTTATACAAAGTCCAAACATACATTTCCTGTAGCCATAACCCATCGTATTATGCTTTGGGTTTTATTTCTTACATATTCACGATGGAGAAAACATAACATTCAGTCAGTTGTGAGCAGTTGCTTACCTCAAGTGGCACAAGCTGTATGGGAAGATAGAAGCTTGCTTTGTGGTTTTACTGATCAGGTACTGGTGGACCAGAGGATAATTGCACCGCTACAGGGATGTATGCTATTACAGGAAGTAGACCCCAATGGGGTGTAAGTCATTACATAAAGTAGACCACAATAGGATGTAATTCATTACAGGAAGTAGACCACAATAGGATGTAAGTCAGTTAAGGAAGTAGACCACTATGGGACTTAGGTCATTACAGGAAGTAAACCACAATGTGATGTAAGTCAATTGAGGAAGTAAACCACAATGGGATTTAGGTCATTACAGGAAATAGACCACTATGGGATTTAGGTCATTACAGGAAGTAGACCACTATGGGATGTAGGTCATTACAAGAATATTTCACCCTGTTTGAAAAATAAAACAAAATAAATTAGGTTACATAATTTTCTTGAAGGAAATGCCAAACACCAAGTGACAGTATGATAATTACATATTTTTATTTATTCTCTTAAATAGATTCTGTGAGATTGTTTCAGTTATGCATATAATGAATCACAATCAAATGGATTGAAATATATTTCAATCATTCAAAGACATTTGAAAAATAAACCAGAAGGCCCCAGTTATTCCTTGATGGCATCCGTTTATGTAACATGTATTGGCTCGTTCACTTAGATAATAACTTATCAGAAGAGACGTCACGCTGCATGTCTGCTTCTCAGAACATATTTAACATTTAAAACCACTAAATGTTTAACTTGAGTTTCAACACAAAAGCCACGGCACATCACGCAGGATAATCGAAATATGAACAAAGGGCAGCCTGCAGAATTGAACCGTACCATTTACATTTACAGCATTTGGCAGACGCCCTTAGCCAGAGCGACTTACATAAGTGCTTTAAGACTCTGTACCAGTTCTTTCTGTACCAAAATTAAGTTCAACAATCTGAGAAATGATAGCAAGCCATTTGCAGAAGCTCTAAAAATAGGACACACACAGACTGAAGGAGCCCTCATTTGAAGACCATCGTTTAAACGTTAATCCCAGTCGCTCCACCTCCCAGTTTCATTTATCTAAGCTAATTCACGAATCCCAGCCCCTTTCCTTTCTCCCTCTCCCCCTTTCTGTCACTCAGGCTTAATCGTGGGAAGTCTGGCCTGCTGCTGGATGCCCAATCAGATCCGTCGGCTGATGTTAGCGGCCAAGCCCAAAGCGGACTGGACGGCGACCTACCTGAGGGCCTACGTTGTCCTGCACCCCATCGCTGACACGTTTTTCTACTTCAGCTCGGTGATCAACCCCTTCCTGTACAACTTCTCGTCGCGGCAGTTCCGGCAGGTGTTTATGCAGGTGCTGCGGTGCCACCTGACCATCGAGCACATCAACAGGAGGAACCTGAGGAGACCGAATATGCACTCGGCACGCCGCTTACTGAGATCGCTCCGGCACTCACTGCCAGCCCGTGGGAGGGACAAGGCCAGCGGGACCTCTACCACACTAAACACTGCCCATTCTCTGGAGACGTCTCAGGAACCCAGTCCAGAGGAGTCTGTGGAGCTCAGTACCACCCAAAACAGCAAAGCAACCTCCAAGACTGACATCTGAGACTGAGTGTGGAATCTTTATGTTGATGCGGATTAGATATTTTTGTAAATGTATGTATCACACATGGTATAGAAGTAATGATGAAAATGTCTGGTCTCCTCTGAAAACAGAGCAGTGTGCGAGAACCTTCTCTATCATTGTCTAGAATTTCCAAACTTCTCAGGAAGTGCAGATGGTGGCTGTATGCACATTAGTCTGCTGACCCCTGAAAAGAGCAGTCATCCTGAAGCTTCTGAGATCTTCCCATCAGGTAAAGCCACTATGACAGATCTGGCCATAAACCTGCCAGGCTCCTGGAAGCCATTCTAGAATTTTGCTCCTTGAGGTTTTTTGAAGTGGAAAGGAATGCATTGCAGAAGTGTTACAATACTGCATGGACATTATAGCTGCATTATAAAATTATTCAAACGTCTTGTCTTTATGTAACCATTAATGCATTTTCTGTGTTTTGTATTCATCGGTGAAAAACTAATAGCTACAATAGTAAGGTTTACAAAAAGTCAGTGTGATGTGAGAGATTAAGCGTCAAATCTCCTTTCCAAAGGTGATCCCCTGCCACAATCCTCCTCTCCCATCCTATCAGCATAAATACGGGAGTCCCATGTCAGCATTATCTGCAACAGAGTGTTATTCGCCTGATAGCTCATGGAAATGAGTGCAACTGGATGTAATTTATGTATTTCATCAAATGTGCCTAGATGTTTTGGTTTTGTTTGCAATAAAAATAATCTTTTTATTAATATGTGCACTTTTAACTGGGTATTCCCTGGTAAATCTCACTACTGTGGATAGCAAATCCTTCACTGTTTTTTTTTTTCTCAAATAAATCTATTGTGGAGAGGAGTCTGATGCTCGTCTTGAAAACAAAAACAGCAAAGCGGCAGCACTGCATGTCAGGACAGCGAGTCCTCGGAGCAGAGCGCCGCTCCAGTCAGGCGACCGTAACGCTTACAGACAGGTCCCTTTATAGAAAACGCTTTCTCCCGCATGCTCATAAGTGACCCGCCATGTAATCATCTCAGGAAGCTTTATGAACGGATGATGTTTCTGCACACAGGAGAACATCGACACTCCTTTAGGTTAAAGAAATGAAGGCGTAAACAAACGAACAACGGCCGACATTCAATTCTCCAAACGCAGCGTCTAGAAAAAGCAGTTGTGCACCGAGTCCTGATCCAGGGCGGGGTGGGGGGGATGGGGGGTGGGGCTTATGTCAACAGAAAGGGCAGTAAAAAAAAGACTGCATGGAGGGCAGTGCTCCCCCCAGCAGGGGGCGCTGCTGCTGGGATGGGCCGCTTCTTCTGCCGGGGGCCATTGCACAGCGGCGTGTTGCAGCAGCTGATGCAGACCGAGTGCAGCTTCCCTGTGCAGAACTGCTGGTAGCCTGAGGAGGCGATGAGGCAGGCCCCGGATGAGGCACAGGACTTGCGGTAATGAATACCTGCAGGGACACAGGAAGCCGGTCAGTGGCAGTTAGGTCACGGCTGGCTGGCTCCAGCACTCCGTCCACCAGCCTGATTCACAGACTTCAATTAGCATCTCATTTAAAGCCAATGTGTCCCGGTCACGCGGACCGGAGAGCGGCTGCAGGCTGGCTGCACACCCTGCGGTGTCAGCTAGCTGCTGCCCCCCCCACACCTCTGTGAGGCCTTTAATTAACAGTCTAATTAAGTCGACTTTTTACCCAGGAAGCCACTGACTGATACGCTCACAGGACCCGTCCAGGCCCCCAGGACCCTAGGCAATCCCGCGCTGCCCCGTCCTGCGCCCCGGCCACACACTGCACTGGGCCCAGTTAGTGAATTCCTATATGATGCTTCGCAATGCCAAACTATTACTGTCCAAAGAACTGGGCAATTAAAATAACCCACAAGCTTCTGGGCAGGGGAGAATGGCTTCTTATGCAGCATAACACCAAGAGCCGTCATCAGCATTGCAATTAATCTGCAGGAGACTTAGTTCCGAAAAGAAAGTCAATAACCTTTTTTTTTTATTTTTATTTATTTTTTTTAATCAGTTGTTTTTCTTGATAGTTGGTATTATTTTACTATAAACAAAATCGGTCAGTATTTCGGTACAATATCCTTAGATAACGGTATTAAACAAATAAGCATTCTACCAGATTAAAATAAGGAGCCTGAGGACAGATATGCAACATTTACCGGAATATGTTTCATTAGTATATGTTAGACCATTGTGTTAGAATTGGTATTAACCATCTTTTGGAGTCATTTTTATTTGGTAAAAGTTCTGAGTTACCCAGGCTTCAACAAATTTGGCAAACCTCTGAGAAGTCGTGATAAAATCTAGTCATGTAATTGATACCTTATTAATCCCCATGGGGAAATTGTCTTTACACCTCCCTTAACTTGCTCTTCGTGGAGTAAGTTGTCCACGAAGGGCAGCCACCCATAGTGGCACCCAGGGAACTAGGGGTTAAGGGCCTTGCTCAAGGGTTTGAACCAGTAACCTTCTGAGTACAAGCACACGGCTTAGCCCACTGAGCCACACGCTGCCCCCTAAGCACTAAACTTATTTGGAAGTTTTATATTATTTTACAAAAACAAGAAATTATAAGGAATTCTTAATTGTGCGACTCTTGCTATTCCCGCCATAGATACCACTGCAGACGCATTTGCTAAAAATGGATCCGTTGCTTTATACTTTCACAGGTAGAGATTTAATCAGTGGTATTATCACAAACGTATCAAATGATGCAAGTTCAGTGCCGTCTGCACTAAGCCACTAAGTTAGGAGTCCTTGTGGGAATTTGTTCTTGACGGGAAGGCAGGTTCACACAACTTTTTAACAGCTGAGCGGTAATTAACAAATTCATCAATTTAATTGAATATGAAAGACAAACAGAAAATGTAAAAAGAAAGAAATAGGCCTTTTAGGCACAGATTGGAAATCGTGGTGCAGGAAGGTCATTCTCAGCTGTCACGTGACGTGAAGTCTGCTAATACAAGACAATGCTTGTGTGCCTTGCAGAGTCAAGCAGGAACATCCGGAGCAAGCCGGCAATTATTGCTTCAGATGACTGCAATTTGGCCTGACAGTGGTAACAATCCCTCTGTCTGCTAATTCTCCGGGTGATAGAACCTCTTTTTTTTGCAATACGCTTTACGTTTTTAACTGAAGGCGTCGTCCTCATGCTGCTTCAGCCGAACTGGGACGTCTCTCCTTTTCATATTTTTGAGGTCTTAATATATATGCTAATATATGTAAAAATGACAACAATGACTAAAAACTGATGAATCTCCGTAAATGTGCATATAAAGTTTCCTGGAGGAAAAATGTAAAGAATGTACTAATGCCATTGTAAAAATGTTTATTTTAAAATTAACCGTCAGTCAACAGTGATGGAAAAATGATTGTCGGATGACATGGTTTTATCAACTTTGTCGGGCCATTAAATTGAGGATGTCAGTTTCCTGAAGTATATGCAACTAAACCAATGTTAGCACATGCATTAAAAATGTATGTTGGCAGTTTCTAGATCCCCTCAGGGAGTTTCGGGCTCCCCTCTTCCCTTTCTTGCAGTTTAGAAATATATGTGGCATCACCATACAAAGCTTCCTGTGTTTAAAGTGTGAGTCAACTTTTACACACCTCAAACCTATAAAATGGGCGCCAGGTCTTTAGCTGATGTCCTTGGTATGCAAGAAGTTAGAGCAGCGATATGACAGCGACAGGCTTCAGGGCCAGACATACCATCCATCATTGTTACCGGAGACAACTGCGTCTGATTCTTAATACCAAAATGCATTCATCATGCGCAAATAAACATAACAACCAAATAGCACTGTTCTCCTCTCGACACATCAGGCTGAGATGCTCTGGACTTTACATTTTCATCTTCAAAAACAACATTTTAGTATAGAAAATACTAACATATTAAACTGACAAAAGGCTTTTCATTGTGCACATTAGCAAAGCCATTTTAATCTCAGTATGCTTTATTGTTTAACCGCACGATTTGTGCAATACCCATATCAAATAAAAATAAGTTTTCGATGACATCTTTTACTTTATTTTGCTTTGCTTTATTTAACATTACATAAGCTCCTTTTTTTTAATTACTGGTGTAAATTTACATGAAAAATACTTAGCACAAATCCTACACAGGCCTTGTGGCCACCGGCCCGTGAACGAAACAAACCAAGCAAACGAATCGGGAGATCTCCAAAGATCCTGTTAACGGCAGCGAAGTGCCCATTACCGCTGCAGGCGGGATGGTGAAAAACAAGAGTCCTGAAGAAGCAGAAGGGATTCACCAGTGGCTGGTTTCTCTAATGAATTTGAAAGCAGTGCATTTGTTTCCTTACTCCGCCTGCTCTTATCCTTTCTAAACACTGTTCTGTCACAGCCTATAACGCTGAAGAACACGCAGTCACCTCCAACTCCTGCACTGTCCTCTTGCTTCTTTGTAAATGTTACTTAACACAGCCGTATTAATTGACAAAGGTCATGCTTGTAGTCAGACTATAGTTTGGTCTCTGATGCAGTGGAAGTCACTGCTTATTTTAATTTTATAATTAGTTGTGTGGGTATCACGGTGGTGCAGGGGTTAGCATTGTTGCCTCCAATACCATTGGGGACAATTTGATATTGGAGGGGACACAATTTAATAATTTAACGGCAAAAGGTTCATATATAGGGGGGACGAATTAAGCCAAATGAATCACCCTGCATCGCCCCCTGGATCCTACACCCCCTGGTTGCCTCGCACCCCTGGGAGCAGGGTTTGAGTCTCCACCCCAGCCCTACATGTGTGAAGTTAGCATGTTCTCCCCGTGTCATGGTGGGGTTCCCTCTACAGCCCAAAAACATGCTAAGGTGAGCTGGAGTTGCCGACTTGTCTGTGTGTGTAAATGATGTGCGTGCCCTACCATTGGTTTGTGCCCTGTCCTGGGTAGGGTGACCACTTCATCCATGTTGGGGGGAGGAGACAGTTTGAGCAAGGACAGGATTTACATCAATCAATTAAAATGACCTGGATTGAGTTCTTGCTGTGTGCTGATTGGTCAGTTACCTATAATCATGCATGTGTCACTAATGTTAAGGGGAAACAGCTGAATCAGTCTTTCGATCAAGGAAATAAATCAGTAAAAGTACAAGACGAACCAAACAATTCAGCTGAGCACAGGAGCCTTTCAGTTTTAAAGTAGATTGTAAAACCTGAAGCAGTTCACAGTGTCCCTCCCTGACATGGATTGTTGACCACCACAGTCCGGCTTATTCCCTGCCTTGTTCCTGTAACTTCCGGCATAGGACCTCAATCCCTCCGACCTACCCTAGGACAAGTGGGTACGAACAATGGTTCGATTTCCATGTGCAATTTTTGTTAGGGGAGAGGGATTTCCGTCTCTATCCCTCCGATTGCAGGAGAAATACCTATCCATAATTAAATAAGTGTTATGAAGTCTTTATGACAGGGGGCCTTGGCTTTTTAAAGCTAGCTTTGTTACATTATCTCCGTTTTATACTATGTAGGCTTTTCATCTACTTAAAAATAAAAACTAAAAAAAAATCTACTAGCCACTGTATTCATTACAGTCACATTTGAGTCTTAGAAGATTAGTCTATGGATTCGGGGGACACATTAAAACACAAATCCAGCAGTTTTCTTTTTCATCTGTATGGGGGCAAAATGCACAGCATTCAGATAATTGCATCGCTGTCATTTACATATGTGTTAGCCAACGACTTTATTACTTACTCTGCAGCAAGCGCAACTGGCCTTTAATTAGTATATAGTGTTTAATTAATTACTTACTAGAATGACTTTACTGGCCAATTTTTACATGAATATTTCAGTTGTTCCATATGCAAATACACAATACAAACATACGTTTTTAAACACGATTAACAGAAAAAGAAAACTTCCCTGTAAATAAAAAGAGCGGATCATCTAGGAGTGACGCACAAAACATTAGCTTTGGTTACATTCCAAGGAATGAGACAAATTAAATCCTCGCAACAAGAACAGAAAATAGATAAACTAGCAAAGCCTTATGCTTAGTATCCTTAACTAATTTAATAATTTCGCTTTGCCAGGCTATTCCAGGGACACCAATTATTTGAGGGTACTCTAAATTGAATACGCTGCAAAAAATAAAAATAAATTCTAATGCATTTACAGGATGTCCATATTAACATTGAAATAACACTCCAATTCAAATCATTATTCTGAGGAAAAACCTAAGATTTTGCAGCACATTAAAAAGCAATTAAATTTAAATTCAGTTATTTAAGCATAATTACGGCCCATAATTAAGTAGAACTCCACTTGAGTTTGATTTCTGAGTGTGATTTACTTATGGTAATTGCAAACTTAGCAAAATGCTCAGATTCAAATGACAGGAAATGCAATTATATACAGCTCTTCCATCTGATGACTCAACCTGGGAATAAACCGTAAATATGACGTTCTAGTGGGTGGAGCTTCACGCGTCCTAAACAGCCAATAATACAGTAGTCGCGTGTGAAAACATCTGCATGGGGAACAGAGTCTGTTCAGACGTAATGTGCAAACACTGGGCCGCTTGCATACAGCTCAATGTATCGTTTGTACACTCTCATTTTCTGCCTGAATACATTGTACAGATGAAAAGCCCGATAAATATCAGGAGGGCGCAAAGTGCGGGGCTGCGCCAGGCTATAGAGGGTTATGGTTCTAATCTGATATGCCTAGTTACCTCAGGCATTAAGAAGGGACAGGAAGGCGATTAGCGAAAGGCACACTGATTTATTTTACTGTCTGCTGTTCTTTAATTTAGCTCTCCAGATCTGTGGTAAAGAGATGCCCGTAGGATTTAGCACCGTGATTAATCAAGGTCCGTTCACGTTCCTGCTTTATTTCCGTGAGACATGAAGATTTAAGCGTCATAGCTCAAGTCCTGTGAAATCCAATCAGGAAGATGAGCTTTTGCTTTGCCAAATAACATAAAGTCATGAGAAATAAAATCTTAGTTACCTGTCATACGTTATATACAGTTCAGAAGAGTTCAGTTAGAACTGGGAATCATTCAGGGTAAAACGGGAATCGATGATATATAAATACCTAAATATGTGACTGAGTTTACGTAGTATTTAAAAAGTATGGTACTGAAAATGGTGATGTTTCCTGTGGAATGTCGGCGTGATTAGCTACACTTTCAGGAAGGTGCACACATTCGCAGACCTGCTATCTCCTTAAACCAAAGGCAATACGCTGGAAGTCTAAGACTGACCTCCATTTGTAATATCCTGTCCAGTTAGGAGCACGGCGGTCTGGAGATTATTTAGTGTATGCCCTCGATATCGCTCTCTCGCTCTCTCTCTCGCTCTCTCTCTCGCTCACACACACACACACACACACTCACGAACACACACATTAAGGGTAATTCAGAGTATGGCTTACAGCAGATACGGCACAACAATAATAAAGACAGAGTACCCTAATTTCTACACATGGGACAGTCCAGTATTCATCAGTGTGCATTTCTGAATGTGTCAGTCCTCTCAACCCTGAGGATGTGCCCACAGTGAACCTCATGCCTGGAAAAACTGAAGCTGAAGCTCAGCTGACTCTCATCCCCGTGGCAACCTGTCCTCCGCCTCCCTCGGTACTCAGGTTGGCATAACACCTTTCTTAGCTTGATCCGATCTGTACCGACCCACTTCAGACTCTCACTCCTGTCTACAGTGAAATCCAGCCAAGCTCCGCGTGGTTCTGCCGAAAGGCCATATGCCAATACAACAAACAGTAAGTTGATCAAGTGAATATTTACATAACTGCACGCTGAAAAGAGAAATAACATATCAGAGCTGAGCTGAAAGGCTGAAATCATCGGGTCGACTCCACAACAGCCGGATACGTCACTTCAGAGCAGGACACGCATGTCGCAAGTGGAATAGGTGTCTGCTGACCTTGATTAATTATATTTGGGGGCACCAAGCAGAGCGGAGCCCCAATGAGCCCTCCCCCCATCCCATTCACAAATGCCTTTTGGCAAGTTACAGCGATTTAATGTCTAATATACTTTAAAATGTATGTATGTTGTTCTTTCAATATGGCGCTCAATGAAAGGCATGTTCCTTATGCTACATTTTTGAATCCCGTGAGCCACCAATCAGCTCTGTCTCTTTCTGATGCCATGCGTGTTGTCATATGTGCACTTAATAGTCTTAACCTGGTCCCGGGTGTCCCAGTTGCTTATGATCAGTGGTTAAAAACTGTCCCTGGGATCACTGGGATAACCTGAAGCCTGCAGCCTCAAATTCTTCTTGACCTATAAGGGAATTTGCGTTTGTGGCACAACATCAAGTACTCAAATACATCATCGATCTCTGTGATAAGCAGATCTGAGCGAAGAAATCAAATGTAAGTGGTTCATAAAGCAAAGGTCCACTGGGTCTGACAGCACAATACATAAAAGGTGTGTGTGCAGGAGAGGAAATGTGTAATAACGGACGAGGAGTGCAAAGCTGCTTATTAAACACTTGTGAAACACTCAATCTGAGCTGCTCCAGTAAACATGAAATCCATGCGAATGAGTAAATATAGGAAATGCTGTGATATGTATTGCCACAGTGAAGAAAGGCCCCTTCACAAAAGAGGGAAAATCTATTTAAAGTTCAAATACGATGTTATGAAATATTTATCTGTTCATTACATCCTGGATCCTGCATAAGCTGTTGCTGAAATGGATGGATGGATTGATAGATTCATTCATTAAAAATTAATACACATATTTAAATAAACTAGAGAAATATGTTTTCCTGCAGTATGAATATGAAATCACCATAACCTTGACTAGGACATGGATGGATGGATGGATGGATGGATGGATGGACGGATGGATCAAAATGGCTCGTGGGAGTTTTATATAAGCAAAAATAATCTGAGGGCAGAATGAGTAATGAATGGTTCAGAGAGATGACCAATCAGACTGTAAAGAAGGTGGGCCCAAGCAACTAGAGGAGGCAGGCCCAAGACATCTGATTGGTTGGCCCTGCCTCCTATAGTTGCTTGGACCTAGCTTCTATACAGTATGCTTGGTTATCTCTTTGAACCAATCATTTTTCATTCTGCCCTCAGAACATTTTTGTGTCCCATGAGCATAAAAATGTGTGTGTGTAATCCTTACTATGACTGAAGTCTCCCCCAATGAAGCATCTCATCTTAATAACATAATGGAGGTTCCGAAATCTCTGGAATCAGTTCACATTAAACAGTAAACGGCAAAGGTGAATGTGATGGACCTGCAGCTGGACTGAGAGCACAATCCCCCCGGGTGAGAGGTTGTGCTGAAGCAGGGCCATCCTAATGCATTTGTGCTATAATCTTCCAGCTTAAGCACACAGTCCACAAGGACTCTGCGGTGTCTCCGGGAAACTGCCCCCACTCAAGCGCCGAAAGTCATTTTCCTGTACGGTGATTTCTATCTTCCGTGACAGAAGTGTTAACACTAGCGGTGATTTGTGGGTGGGGGACATTTGTCAACATTACATAACAGGGGCATATTTAATGGAGTCTGGGGCTCCAGCCTCATCTAACACTACAATCTGGCTGATTGATACACAGTCCCTGGAACTGTTTCTGTGGTTGATTTCCACAGATACTGTAGGTAATCACATCAGAGCCATTGTCCTTGCTCAAGTGAGACAACAGTTTGTCCAGAAAAGAACAGCGCATACATATCCAGAGCGCAGAGAATCACTCATGACCACTGGAGTTCTTCACTGACACCCTATCCTTGAACCGCTATTATTTAATACATTCCTTCATCTGCAATAAGTCAGAAGATGCTTACAACCAATAAAATGCCTTCACACTGACAGGCAAATTCATGCTGCAAGGACTGCCTGATTAACTCTGCCACACAAAAACTGCAACCTATAGTTACCAGGATGAAATGTGCTGCAGGGTCGACGACTGCCACGGGTCATGGGAAGCGGGAACCGAAGTATTTAGCATTTCGTCGGGCTGAGGAAACTTGTCACGCAGGCTTGGGTGGTATTACGGTAATACTTCGGGTTATCTTGCGGTACGGTACTATTTTTGGGTATACAGGCGACAAAATTAGCAACAAAATTAGAGTGTGGGGGTGAATTATCATGGGGGACCCCCCGCCGCAAACTTTATCGCCGACATTTCAAAATACCGGCTTAGTGTTGCATTTGAAAATGGCAACAAAATACCGTATACTGTGGCATTACGTCAGAAAATTTAAATACCAACCAAGTCTCGTGTCAGGTTGAGTCTATGGTGCAGATGGTAACCATGCAGTCGCTCTCCGCTTTGATTAGGACACCGACGTGCAGAGCTGAGCTCATTAAAAATGCAAGAAAACAACCTGAGGCAAAACCGCGGGTCTTTTGTATTTCGCGTCAAGAAGTGTGTTAGCGATGTCACGAGGGAAGACGACACATAATCGCTTATAACGCAAGGCGCCTTTTGAAACTGGTGTCATCCTGACTTCTGACAGATAACTTCGCTGTCACTGAGCAGCGCCGTATGTGGCAGGAAATCTACTTCAGCAAAAGTATCTGTGCTGGGATCAGGACACAAACCTAGAGAGACAAGCCTTCAAAAAAGGCGGTATCTCGGTGCTTAAAAATGAAGTAGTTGGACAGAGCTGCCTGCTATGAGATTGTTATCAAAAACAAAGTGGCTATTACCTGAGTCAAGAGGGCTGATTTCAGGTCTGCGCTTTCTCTTTCAGTGGAACGAAGTAGATTACTTTCCTGTCTTTTCTGGCCAGTGATTTTGAGGCCATTTACAAAACCAGCTGAAGCCAGTTAAATTTCACAGTGAGAAACACTGAGCTTCTTGCTTGCACTGACTGCACTGAATGAACACCTTCTGATTAAACATAACTAACCTGGTCAGACTGTGACTGTTTAATCTGCCTCACTGTCTGTCTGTCTATTTTAAAGTTGCTGTTTAATAAAGCTAATTAGTTACTGAATTAAAATTAAACCCCCATTTCGCATAAGAGCGTCATTTCAGAATAGAAATATTAATTTAACAGGTTTTCTTTCATAAGACGTGACATTTAAAAGTTTAGTATTTTTAGATAAATGAGGAACATAAATTACAGTTTTTTATAATAGGGTAAGGCCAGGAACAGTCTTAAGAAGCCAGTTTGGCCTATATGTTAATATAAAATATTGTAGCAAATAATACAAAATGCACTGAGCTTATGTTCAGACCCTACTTTGTATCAGAAGGGGGCCCCCTGGTGGCTCCCACCAGCATAGCTGACCTACCATCCTCCTTCACCAGCACCTCCTTCTGGCACATGTCTTGCACGTTGACCGTGCAGTTGACGATGAACTCAGGCGTGGAGCAGTCGTTGTGCTTCACTTCCTCGCACTGGTAGCACTGGATTTGCAAAGCGATGCCTGGGGGAGGGAGAGAAAGGTCAGTCTCGCATGCAGCCCTGCAGGGCAGCGCCGCAGAAGTCCCCCTCCCCAGCAGACCACAGGCCAACAGCTTAGCCGGGTTACAGATGTAAAAATGAGCTGCTTCAGGGTTTTCTGGTTACACTGTTAAATTATCTAACTTAACCTGAATTGTTTGGCAAAGTCTCTACATACAGTGTAACACTTGGAACGGAATAGTGAGATTTGATTCAGTCCTGTGGGGAAATTCCCTCTTCTCCTACCCCATCTTGCTCTCCCTGACACACACAAAAATAAGCTGGGGGGTCACAACACAGGGTCAGCTAGCATCCAGCGCCCCTGGAGCTGGGGGTTAAGGGCCGTACTCTGGGGCCCAACAGCAACATCGGTCTGCCGGCCCTGGGATTCAATTCGACAACCTTCTGACCACAAGCACCTAACTCCTAACTCACTGAGCCGTACACGTGAGCTGGCTGTAACACCACTGCTTTTAACAGTCCTACAGTACTTAGCAGTACACCTGAACGCCATTGCAGCTGTGTCCAGCTGCGTAGGAAACATAAAGCTCATGCGTGTTCTCTGCTAGCGCATGGTCGTTTAAACAAAGCACACTGGGCCCGCAAACAAGATACAGCCGGTGGAATTTACAAAAAAAGACAAAGAGCAGCCGATGCTTCGTTGTGAGCCTGGCAGGACTGGGATGCTCTAACGCGATTTAAAAATCACTAAATAATTACGCCTTACAGGACTGTAAAAGCATATCCTAGTAACACAACCCACACACATACACTTCCCCCCTCCCTGTAGGAGTTGTTTGGCACACCCCCACACACACACAGATACTCTTACTTTACTGTCTCACTAAAAGAAGACCCATCCCTGCCGTGTTGTGTGTAACTCCACGTATGTTTGTGTGAGTGTGGACCCACACATGCACACGTGTGTGAGCACGTCCCCCCCTGGGTGTCACATTCCCCACATCCCCTGTGACCCTTTGGAGTGTCACACCACCAGCTGGGAATGACCAGGAAGGGGCATTGCCCAGAGGCAGCCAACAGCCACACAAGTGACTGCCTCTGCTCGTGACAAAAATTAATTTGCCTTCGATATGTAAAGCCCAGGAGTTCTTCCATCGTCACATGTTTTTGACAAAATTCATGAGGATTACACAGCCGCACCAGGAGAGAACGGTCGCTTCACCTGAGTGAACTGGTTGTTACTGTTTGTTAATGAAAGAAACATACAATTCTTTTTCACAGAAGCAAATCTTCTTACGCAAGTAATTATTCTTTCTTCTTAAAAAAAAAAAAAGAGGAAGCCAGCAGGTGGCATAGTGGTTAAGGACTCATAACCTCAGGGGTTTTAGTTCTGGTACAATGAATCTTCAGGAAAGATTATGGATGAGTAGGCAATACAGATCCCAGTGATGGGATGTTCAGCTGTATATATGAGTTACTGTACACTGTAAACCAATTTAGCTAAGAGCAAAATAGCAGTCTTTCGTTTGCCACTCTGATTTTAACATATTTATTGGAATGTCATTTACATTAAAAATAAATCTACATTTAATGAAAGTAGGCTATCAGTTCCAACGAATGAATTTGACTTACTGGAAGATGAATTAGAGGAGACGGTTACGGAAAAGCAAAATATGATTCATTAACATTCAGTTCACTCAGAAAATATTGGCAGAAACTTAACTGGTCATAAAATAATTATTTACTTTTAAGACTGGATATACAGTCTGCATTTGGCGTGAATGAATAACGACAGATAACTGACTTATGGTGAAAACATGAGCCATTGCATGCCGTTTTGCCCGTCTTTGTCCTGGGGGGATGTGAGCTGAGCTTCGGGACCACGGGTTACGTGTTGCATCGCATCATCGCGCAAATAACTTTACCCAGCCATATCGCTGTTTCAAAGACACTTATTTCATTCGCGCTGTATATAATTTACAGCGGAATGTAAGATTACTCTGCGAAGCTTTATTTTCGTTGAACATTCTTCAGTCAAGACAATCATCAATAACACCAGTAAACAGTAATTAGGAAAGTTCGTGTGTTTAGAGGTGAGCATTAAACATCTTCGTCTTAAAACGAGCACAACATGTAAAGCAAGAAAGTCATCGCCCGAAATGTGGGTAAATGGCAAGGCGAATACGAAAGGATTGCGAGACCTACCTGTTTTGAGCAGAAATCCTAAAAAAGTTGTGCAGATAAAAAGCCGCATCCTTTTCCAGGGGCCGCTTGTGGAGGAAACATCCGATACGTGCGGCGGTGTGAGCGCAGCGCCCCGGACTGCGCTCCGTTATAAGTCCCGCAGCCGCCCAGTTCGTCACCATCAGAGGCAAAGCGGAGAGGCAGGGGCTTAAAAGCCGGCCCATGTGACCGCGGCGATCAGCCCCTAAAAGACACACCGCCTCCTAAATGAACGCCACCGTAGATCAAACACCTGAGATGAGCTCCGCCGGGGCGGGTGGGGGCTTTTCCTGCAGGATACTGATGCTGAACGCAGCGTGTAGCGGGGTGCGGGTGGTGGCGCATTTCGTGCAGCTTTTACCGGCTCACCACCTGTATTAGAGGATGAGCTGATTTAGGATGGAGAACATGCTGCGCTCAGAATGATCCGCTGGATCGGCGTGGAACTTACAGCCCCGAAGCTGGTCTTCATACACCTGAGCGGCGGTCTTTTATATCTCATTTATATATTCGTGTTTAATACAGTTATAGTGTCTCCTGCTTTCTTCCGAACACCGCCCCGGTACCGCATCATGCGCGCCGAATGACGCTTGACAGGTTCCTCATTCCTCTCATTTTGTGCCCTAATGGGTGACCGCTCTTGACATTTATTAAAATATTCATAAACTCATAATTTTTCTCAAAATGTTACAAATTCGAAGGACATTTTGACAACTCCTGTGAATTATGCTTACGGTCTGTATAGTAGGCTACAACCGCACTATTAGGCAAGAACAATAATGGAGAATATTTTAAATGATCAGCATCTGTAAAGCATCCGACTTAAATGTAAGGCTGCGCCTAAAATATGCAGTAATTGAATCAAAGGTCGGATAGCATGTAGCCTACATTATTTTACTTTATTTTGCGGGGGGTTATAAATCATTTGGCGCTGTCGCTCAAGCTGCATTTAGGTAATGATGAGACCTTTGGAGACCTCCTGTGTGCAAACTAGGGGAGCAGAAACCAAATCGGAGACCTTTAAACACAACATGCTTTGATTACTGATAACTCGGTCTGACCCGGCACACCCTCGAGGGGTTAGGGCACATACAGCCTAATCAAGTTGCTCCAATAAATAAATACATTCCATAGTTTCTGGGTGAAGATTTCAGCAAGATCTGTACTTGCTGCCTGAGTTCAAATTTATTCACGGCTACGTTAGGAAATCAGTAGCACACTGCCAGGATATTATGTAGGCTAATATACTCAGCTCATAAAGTTGATCAGCTCTGAGGCACAGTTTGTATAACAGAAAAACAATTAGGAGACATCCCAAAATGAAAAGAAACGTGTAGGCCAGATTTCATTATGCAAATAAAATATTAAATATGTTGTAAGGAGATAGACATTATATACATAGGCCTACAGGTCCATATGAAAAACAAAGAATGAATTAACTTATCTATTTCAGTTTCTTGGCAACACGATGAATGAGTAAATTGCCACTTTGGGAGAATATTTTGAGCATTTGAACAGAAATTGTTGCCCTTTAGTACAGTCATAGTGCCCATCCATTTTGTACTCATCTTGTACAGCATTCAGTGTGTCATTATGGCTTTGAGTCACGCCGGTTGTAGGACTCGTTACCAAAACAACATGAGAAACGGGTGTAAAATGAAATATTTAACACAGAGCTTATCTGTCATGCTTTAGCTTGATAATCTTACTGTTTGCTTGGCGAATTATCTGCATTGAAAGGGCACGGAGGGTCCATCGACCACTCTGAGACTCAGCCACCAATGAACTGTTTGACTTCCGATTACCCTTCACCATGTTATCATTTTGTGGAAAATTCGGTAGCTACAGATGATTTTAATGCGCTAGAGAAACTCGCAGCTACAGAACCTCTGATCTTTTAGGCTCACGGGCTCAGCTTGTGCCGAAGAAGTTAGCCTCTCCATTTTGTATGAATATCTGTGTGTTTAATAAAAATGTTAAATAACAAAGTATGTTGGCTTCTTAATTTAATTAAGCTGTGTGGCTAAACAGATTAATTAATTAAGGCTAAAAAGACTGCCGGGAAATCAGTGTTGTTTTTGTGTAATAAAAGGCAGGTCGTGTTTCTTGCCATCACGTATTTTCCATTATTTGTGCAAACAGAACACAGAATCAGTGTATGACAGCTTATTGAAAAGAATCGTCAAGGTCTAATTGATCTTCCAGGTTAACAGCAATTAACGCCTGCAAACACCCCCCCCCCCCACCCATGGAATTCCAGGGAATACAGTGACATGTGCAGTTTGTTAGTGGCCAGTTAGTACTAATGATCACATTTAAGTGTGTTTGTTGCTACCAACAGCAGCAGCTGTAAGTATGCAGAGTGGAATAAGAGGTGACATATCTGATGGCGACCAAGTTAATGTGACAGCTGCAGTGACAGACTGCCCTGGGCCTTGTGCTAAAAAGCACAGCGTCTCTGACAAGAACGGACATCACACCCCCACGCACATGAGCTGCTGCGGTCAAAATGTGGAGACCGATGCAGGTCGTCCAAGTCTCGCCTGAGCAGAATTAAGGAACAAAGCTGTTCGGTGAGTCTCTGAGTTTCCAGACCACATGTGGGTCATGTGGCCAGACCGTGAGTCACACATGAAATACTAACAATCACCAACAATAACGAACTAGCGAACAAGTATGGAGATTCAGCAGGGAGAGAGAAAAAAATCACGTGATTTCAGTCTGTCACCAGCAATCAGGCTGTGTTTGGGAGGCTTGCACTGTCACCTATGTGAACAGCTGGATGGGGCCCTATGTTCCAGCCAAGCGAGGACCCGTCTTTGACCCTCCCAAACAACACGCTGATGTCACTGCCCTTCAGTCGTTTCCAATTTTCCACTGGTATCCGTATATGACAATAGCATATTCTGGAAATGTACAGGGCTACATAATAGAAATATGTTAATGAATGTAAACCCATTAGATGAAAAGGCCCGCCACACAGCACGGATGAGATCCGACTCCATAACTCATTAACAGCCAGGACCGGCGATGTTAGAGCAGCCGGGGCAAGAGTAAGAGGAGGAGGAGGAGGAGAAGGAGGAGGAGAGGAGCAGAGGCGCCAGAGGAGTCAGCGGCCAAGACTGAGCGCATGCAATTATCGCCCGGAGAACATCTCAGAAAGAGAACAGCATGGAAAGTCACACCTTTTACATAGGAATCAGTGATGAACATTTGTACGTTCCTCAAACATAGATGGCGGAACATTTAATTTATATTTTAATCATTCTTGCATGATACAACTAAAGGAAACGTATAAAATATTTTATATATATATATATATATATACACACATATACATACACACACACACCTCCGCATTAAGGGATGGATATATATATATATATATACTATATATATATATATATATATATATATATATATATATATATATATATATATATATATAACACATTTACATATATCTTGCTTGAACTGTGCAATTAATAGTCTGGCCAGAAGATTTATACTAAATATGAATATTTATGATGTCTACTCCAGTGGGTGCAAACACCCAAAGGGAATGGGAAGTCAAAAGGGAATATTTTAAAATAAATTATTATAGAAATAAGACAGATGTTCAGCAAACATTCACATAGTAAAGACCCACAAATATACCTGCTCTATGTTCTAGCCAGGAACACACACACACACAGACCTGTACTCAGATCTTTATGGGGACTCTCCATTCAACACTACAGGCAAAACCCCAATCCCAACTATGACACTCTAAACCCTAACCCAGCCCTTCCAACATTAACCATAAGTAACCAAATATTTTTAGTTTTTTGCATTTTTGATTAGTTACAGATTTTTTCTAAAATTTAATTTCTTCTTCTGGGGACCGAAAAAAATGGTCATTTATATTTTTTTTGATTGCAGTCATAAATATTCATAAAATTGAGTTGATTTGACCAGAAATATATCCCAAAAGGTCAAAATAATAGATTTATGTCATATTTTGGGGGCATTTGGTGTCCAATGTTAATTTATACATACCCACACCTGCACGCACACGAACACACACACACACACACCTGCATGCACACTAACACACACACACACACACACACACCTGCACCCACACGAATACACACACACACCTGCATGCACACGAACACACACACCTGCATGCACACGAACACACACACACACACACACACACCTGCACACGAACACACACACACACACACACCTGCATGCACACGAACACACACACACACACACACCTGCATGCACACGAACACACACACACA